AACTAATGTAAAAAGCTATGAAGACATAAGATAAAAGAAAGTACACAACGTGATATAAGATTACTTATGTAGAATCTTGAAAGATTGATATTCGATCCTTGAAATCTTCATATTGGGATCAAAATCAGGTGATTTACAGCTAAGGATATCTATACGATCAAGTAACAAATCATATATATCATCGTTATCATTATGCATTTTGTAGACACTAACCAGTTTTTTTTTTATTGAACTCTGCAGATAATGCCCAGAATGCTAGAAGGCAATTATATATTAACCAATTTTCAACAACTCCAATTGAAAAATCACATTTCTTATATTTATTTTACCAAATGATCTATATTATATATAAAACAAGATTCGCGTTATACAGGATGCAGTTGTGGTGAGTTAATAAGCATATGAGTAAATTGAATTGTAGTAGTTAGATTTTATTGAAGTGTGTAATGATAAATTATTATGTTATCAATTTAAAGTAATGGTAGAATAAAAGGATATTTGAGTTTTGAGCTAAAAATTCAACTAAAGTTATATAGTAGTAGTAAAATTGTATTGTTAAAAGCTACTAGTGCATCTATGGATATACTGCATATAGAAAGAATATATTAGAATGTATATTTTAATTATATTTCTAATTTGTAAAAAGTATATATCAATCAACAATCAATAAAAAAAAATAAATCTCTAAAGTTCAGTTACTTATTAAATTATATTTAAAAGTAGCTATCTTCGATTTATTATTATCAAATCAAAATATAAAAAAATGATAGTAAGTTACATTTTTAGTGAAGAAAGCCATTGTGTATATTATTTTTTTCTATACGCTATAACATAGTAAATTGATAAGGTAACTTTACTAATTCTAGAAAACAAGTATTTTCATAATAAAAAATCTAATCGCGATACTCAGATATTTATCATTATTAGCCGATTATACTATACTATAAAGAGTTTAGATTAAAAATCTAGACCAAAATTTGGCAATAGAAAACTTTCATGAGTATTAGATTCCACAAACATAAAT